AAGTTGGCTTTGCGCCAAAATGTCTCGCGCCAAGTTGGCCGCGCCAAGTCGGCCGCGCCGAATTGTCCTAGACCGGAAATAATATACTGCTACGTGCGGTTTACGAATCTATCTTGATTTTGTTCATTATTACTAAATTTTTTTATTGTTTAAAACGCCTTGTTTTTACGAACATAGTACGAAACTAGCAGATTTGGCTCAGTGGTAAAGTTTCTGCTTCACAGACCCATCAGGGTCGACGGGTTGAAACTAGCGGGCGGCATTTTTTTTTTTTTTTCATTACACAATAGGTATTTAGGAGTTTAAGTGATACTTTATGTGATGGAGTATGGACGATTAAACGCCGAGCGATAGCGAGGCGAACTAAATCCATACGAGTCACATAAAGTCACTTAAACTCCGAATGAAATACAATATTTTATTTTCAAACGATTAATCTTCTTTTGAAATGATTATTTCCTATCTTCTTGCTTCATTAAGGAATTGCCTTGATTTCACTTACCATGGTTACTAGCTATGGTTGACAACCACTATGATTTTCACATATTTATACTCCGGCGGAGTATAAGTAGTATTTATGCGCCGCTCAAACGTGATGTCATAGAAATGACACTTAAACCCCGGTAACAACGTCATATAAGTGTCAATGATGTCAATACATTTATTTTCAAACGTCATATAACTGAACTGCAGATTCAACGCGTGCGAAGCACGAATGGAATGTGCTGCTTCGGTTTCACGAGCCATATCTTCGATTATTAAGCATATTACGAGTTATATTCAACATGAGAATATAATAAATGAACACATTTTTTGATAATAGAATTGAATTGGTCGTTTTGAGCTTACCCCCAACGTTGGCAAGCCATAATAGACAGAAAAATTTATGAAATTCTAAAATTTGTCAAATTTGACAGTTTTTAAATTTAGGTAGGAACAGACCACAATAAGGTAATAAAATTATTATCGCTGTGATAGACATGTAACTAAGGGCATGAATAAATTCTATCGGAAGAAATGGGGTCATGTGATCCATGAATTATATTCTCAATAAAATACCTTAGCAACGCATAAATGGCACTAACTTGACGGAATGTATCAATTTAGTGAAATTTTAATTCTAGATTATTTTGAAGAAATCCTTCCAGTTGTAGGAAAAACGTTGTTTATAACACAAGAAACGTTACGTTCACGCGTGCAGATTTCCGCACGAGGCGTAATGGTTCTTTTTCGGCACTTGTTATAAAATAGTTATTTATGCAATTAAGTGAGTAAAGTGTATCTTTTTTTTTTACGAGAAGGAAAATTTACCGCACGAGCCGAAGGCGAGTGCGCAAATCCGCCGAGAGTTTTATCAAAACGTATTTTCATATCTACAAAGCGAGGAAATCAAATCACTCCATTTTGATAACGGGATTTCTTACACAAAACGCTTCTATGCCTTTGTGTCCATCCATCATGATCATTATAAAACTGTGCCGTTTACTTGAAATCCAACAAAAAGAGCAAGGCACGCTAGCGTCGCGATTTACTTTCTAACGACTTCTTCGGAAAGGATGAAAATGGGGTACGATAAAACTTAACCCAAGGGTTCGATGCCACATGAGGAGAAACCGGGAAATAGCGAGGTGGGACAAAAGGAAATATGCTGGACAGCAGAGACAAATCAGCTCGCGACAAAGAATGACACTCGGAGACGATGCGTAATGCACTTGTTACAAACCTCTTCTGAGCGGAAAGATTGTGAGGGGAATATTATACAGAATGTTACCTAAGATTTTATAATATAAATGATTATATATAAATTACGGGAGAGAAGATTTTTCGAGCGCTCGCGTTTTAATTTCCCTCGATCCTTCGGATTCCGGGAAATAATTCACCTCGGGTGAAAAAAGTGTCTCCTCTCTCTTGGTATAGGTATACTATTAGTTACTCAGGCGATTCATTTAGAATTGGTTACTGATTGCACATCGTTAACATTCATAGGAACCTTTAACAGACGCAGAGGGGCAGAGGTGCTTACCTCTTATTTACTAGGACAACACAACAGCCAGCGTAGTAATGAAGAATTGCATTTTATTCATCATGACATCATAAAATTAGCATCATTTCAAAAATTCACCAGGAATTGTGAGGAGATAATGTTAATTGCTCTACATGTTGGCAGTATATGGGAGAGTGATATAAAGTCTATGAAATTTCATTTTAAGAGATGTACATTGTACCCATATCTCAGGTTTATAGAAGTCTACCTGAATTCCTGTCCCATTACTCACTCCATTGTCTGAAAGTCCTGACGATTTACCGACCATAATAGCAGATCATTTATTAATCGCAGCTGCATTAACGGCATTAGTTGAACACATCTTGGGTACCGTTAGCTTTAACATCCACCGAGTAGATCATTGGCAAAAGATTCAACAATTGCGTAATGATTTCTGGAAAATGTGGAAAGGTGGTCCAGACAATATTTTTAATACATCATGGAAATACAGCAGCATTCTAACTGGACTACGTCAGCGCGACCACCATCGTGATAATCCACAAGGAGAACATACCTGCGTTTCGCTATGTATTAAGCCCTTTGCAAGTTTGATGAACTAGCCTGTGTTGTATGTCCTATTTTAAGATCGTAATCATTTATAATTCACATTTTTAAGTCATCTATGTTATTGCATTATTCAGTATTTCACTATTATATTGTATTTCCAAGTTAGTTCTTCAATGGAGGGACTACATTCGGTTTACCTGAACAGAGGTTGGGCGTAAACCAATAATCCACTAAATGCAAATGCAGCGAGGTTGCGAGCCTATGGGCCACTTGAAGGTTACTCGCAGGCGTCCAGTTTCTCATTATTACTAAATGGGACTGAATTATGCACTCGCACAGGTGCCTAGGAATCAATTATTGATAATAAAAATTTGACTTATAGTTTTTGCCAGAATTAAAAAACCACTACTTATTGATCTGAGGCTAACAAAAAAAGCACAAATAAAGTGAGTCAATTAGGTTAACGGTTGCAGAATTTATCATTAAAACGTTTTGAAACGTCAAAACCCTTCCAAAATCTGTAATTGAGTGTAAATTAGGTGATAATATCCCCCCTCCCCATGTCAAACTTTGGATTTAATACTACGGTGTTATCAGTTATATTTTCAAGGCAGAATGCAGTGTTGGTGGTTTTTTAGCTTTAGCAAATACACTCCCCCCAAAAATTATCGCACCACCTCCAGTTCTAGCGAACCGGACTACATGTGGTTACCATATACATAGTAGTGATAAATGTGTGCAAGACAATGCCAAAAAATGACAATATTTAAAAAATATACATATTCTGGGCCTGATTTGGAGACTGTCTTAATGTAGGTACATAAGTTTATAAGCGTTAATTAAATTAATATCGTGTATTTCCACCCCTGGCTTGAATAACGACTTCCATCCGTCGCTGCATATCTTCGTAAAAGTGCACAATATTGTCTTGAGGAATATTTTCCCATTCTTCCATAAGAACTGCTTCTAGCTCTTGGAGAGTTCTAAAAGCAATTCTACGGCCCGCAACACGACATTGCAGATCATCCCACGCATGTTCGATGGGATTCATATCAGGGCTTCGAGCTGGCTGTTCCATAACAGGCGTATCTGTTTCTCTGAAATAAGCTTGTACAACGCGCACTATGTGCGGCCGAGCGTTATCATGCATATAAACAAAATTTGGACCAATAAATGGTCCGCATGGAATGACATGTGGTTCTAAAATGTCTGTTATGTAACGTACAGCCACCAAACGAGCTCCAGGTAATGGTACTAAGTCTGTACGACCTTGCAAAGATATGCCAACCCAAACCATAATGGAACCTCCACCGAACTGTACACTTGGTTGAAGTTACATTGAAAATACCGCACTCTAGGCCTTCTATACACCGGTATTCGTCTGTCATTTGAGCAAAGAGAGAATCTAGACTCATCAGAGAACATCACATTTTCCCAATCTTCAATTCCCCAATTCACATGCTCCCTTGCGAATTCTAGCCGGGCTACTCGGTGAGCTCTGGTGAGTAATGGTCCTTTTGCAGGAACACGAGCTAGAAGATTATCTTCGCGAAGACGATTTCTTACTGTCTCTACAGAAATATCCACATCTCGAGCACCAAACAACTAGATTTGAAGTAATCGATCAGTGCACAAAGCGCTGTTAAGTGCACAAAGCGATCATCCCATAGCGAAGTCACCCTTCGACGACCTTGTCCTGGTCTTCTGGCAACACTTCCTGTTTCATGGTACCTTTGTGCAAGTCTAACTATTGTGGAATGATTAACTCCTAAAACTCTTCCTACGTCTCGTTGACTACGACCATCTTCCAACAGAGTCAATGCTCGTACAACTTCGTCGTGGCTCAAATGCAAGGTTAAGCATTGAGGGACCTCCATAATGTCGAATATGTATGACAGTAGCGCTAGATGTCTACATAAATCCTTCGCAAATCAAAAGGACGAAATTCGTATATGTGCATATTTATCCGAAGAACTAGAAACCATCGTCTTAATCCTCATATTGGTTTTTATTCTGGCAAATAAATAAATAAAAATATGTTTGGATATGATTTGGCCCCATATGTGTCTTCTACAAATTTTCAAATTGGAAATAACCAAAATTTTGAGGGTGGTGCGATAATTTTTGGGGGGAGTGTACTATGCTAATCTCAGAAATGCATAATTTTAAACTTTTCTCTAATAGTTCACATGTCACTAGAACTTTTTCATTGCTTTGATTAATTAATTGTGCCTGCTTTCGTTAACAAAAAACAACCATATTGGTATAATAAATTGCACATAAGCTTTCATAAAGTAAGTAGATTCCGGTAGTTTTTTATCCTACCACGTTTTTATTAAAAACAGATTTTCTCACTTTTGAATCATATGATTTGTTTTGTTTCCTCAAAAATTTGAAAAACTAAAAACATAATTTTAGATGTAAATAATTATTTAAATATTAATTGCAGCATGTGATATGAATGTTCATAAAAGATGTGAGGAGAGTGTTCCTAATTTATGTGGTTGTGATCATACTGAACGGAGAGGAAGAATTCAATTAAAAATGAGTTATACCGGACACAAACTAAGTGTTGAAGGTTTGTAGTTTAGTTTTGTTCCTTTTGTATGTAACAATTTGTTTACTTCAGTTCAACAAGGTAGAAATTTAATTCCAATGGATCCCAATGGCTTAAGTGATCCATATGTTAAAATCAAACTCATTCCTGATTCCGATAGTGTTAAGAAGAAAACCAAAACCATTAAATCCAATTTAAATCCAGTTTGGCATGAGGTACTTACGTTGTAAGGCATATATTTGTTCTTTCTGGAATATGTTTTTTTATTTTTAACATAATTCTAGTGAACTGAAACCAGAGGACAAAGACCGACGTTTATTAATTGAAGTCTGGGACTGGGACCGAACATCTCGTAATGATTTTATGGGATCATTATCGTTTGGCATTTCAGAAATAATTAAATCACCTCCGGATGGCTGGTTTAAACTTTTAACTCAAGAGGAAGGCGAATATTACAACGTACCTGTTCCTGAAGAAGGGGTTGATTTAGCAACAATCAAAACTCAAATGAGGGTAAGAATATACATATACAAATAATTCTAGTATTTATTCTATATCTGCATAGCATGTGTTAAATTTTGATGCTAAATATCTCATCGATTTAAAAACAGTAAATTTTGGAAAATATTGTTACGCTGTCGAGGCTTCATCAGAGTCACCGATCATCGCCATTCATGCTAGAAGATTCATAGGCGTGGTACCGGGGCGGCGTATGGATTTTTTCGTAACAATATCATCGCTATGGGAAAGCAAAACGCTATTTTTAAAACCCATAAGTAATGGATTTTGTATGCAAAAATTTGCCGCGGTGTAGACAAATATCAAAAACTTAACGAATTCTATAGAAGTTGATACCATTATCTTATGCAATTTATCAAAAAGTTTTTGTCATTTCGCATGTATCCGTGTTAAAATTCGCTGTTTATATATTAAAATTTCATGGTACATCATATTATTTCTTGAATTTTCGTAATTCTAAAAACTATGAGTGCATTGATAATTCATACGTATAGACTCATAATATTTTGCATATTTTGGAGAGGATTTATTCAACAACATTTTGAGCAGCATACAAACCGGCAGACGGACAGATAGACCGTCAGGCAGACAGAGAGACGGAAACGGGAGACCACTTTTTGGGCACTCTAGACACATCGAGAAAACATGAAACTGCCAAGTCGTTCGATGGACTCGATGACTATACTTTCACAGGGGGGACACAGGGACACCAAAGTCAACTTGAAGGCGACGGCCTCGGCGAGTGGCATTCTGGACGGCGGCGATATTCTGACCGGTTAACGAGAGACAGGTTGGAATATGCAGTGTCATCAGACGGCAACGATTGAACGATACGTCTAATTCCCCGGTACGCAGGATCAGTCTCTCGCTGAACCTCATTCACCCTCACTACGAACAAAATAGACGAGGCAGATTCGAGTAGGTAATAGTCGGTTTTGGCGGTAGTGTTGGCGGCGGTTCTGGTTAGTGCTGTGCAGGTGAAATTCGGGCTTAGACTGGTTATTTGCTGTAACGGGAACGTTGAAGCAACATTTCTACAATGTTCTTGGACCTGTTCGGTGCCCTCCGTGAAATCCATCAGATCAGTGTCATCATTGAGCATACTCGGCTCTTTTACTCCAAGTCCAGCTCGTGCAAGTTCGCTGGTGGTACGACGTATGACATAGACTGGACGGAGCAGCGCCTTAAGCTTCAAAGTAACAACACCCCTCTTCAAGAATTAATAGAACCAAAAAAATGTGTTTACCCACCTCTTGGAGAACGTGCCTCTAGTAAAACGCGAGATATGTGGTTCAGACATGATCCACCGCACTACGCAAGGAATGTTTCCAATTGATTAAACCCTAATTTTAAGAAACAATGGATTGACAGAAATAGATCCGTGTTGTGGCCCTTCGTGCCACTGACTTAAATCCATTGTGATTGTTTCTTGTGGAGGCATATGAAACAGCTAGTGTACGCGAACCCAGTAAATTCAGTGCACGTGTGAATGTTGTTACCGGGACGATTCATCAGAATCCTCCAATGATTATGAGAAGTTCAACTTTAATGTCACAGCGAATCGAATCAATGATCAATTACAAGTACAGACTCATCATATTTTGTACAATTTAGATAGGATTTCTTCGTACTTTAAAGGTAATGAAAAGTCAAGAAAACGTAAAATTAGAGAGTCCCCGACGGACTCGATTAAAATACTTCCATTGCTTACGCTCAGGAAGTAAAAAAAATCCGAACTAACAAAAGACGAAGTATTACAAAACCCGATAGAGAAATTTATACAGGGTGCCGCATCCAAGTTTGGAGATGGGAAATTAACATGGGAAAACGGTTTTTATTTTATAAGATCTCCCCATATCATTTTAAAGCTATTATTGAGTAATGCATTTGTGGAGGTAAAAGAGGGCTATCGGCCAGTATTTTTTTTTTTCAAATCATTGCATCGTGCTCATTTACTGTAAGAAGGCTTTAAAAATCGCATTTTGAAATTAGCGCTCGATCCGATTTGTCGCGAAACGTTTCGTCCCAGTTCGACGATCGCGTCTTTGGATTAGTCATGGAAAATCGGAATATCAAAGTGAATTTAAAATTATTCGATTCTCACTCAGAAATCACTGAACAACTCAAATTGAGTTATTTTTTATCCAGTGTGATGATTATTGACGAACAAATTAAACGGAATAAATGCACAAATTGATCTATGTATTTGTGCTGGGTGCAGCATAGGAATCGCCCCACGAATCACCTATGGTCGTAGTGCCAACTCCGTCAAACGAATCATGTCCGACTACACCCAGGCCGTATACAAGAAGCCCAAGATGAAGACCTTCGAGCAGCTCATCTTCCTCAACACCTCCATCGACACCATCGTGACACGTCCTGGGGGCCTGTCAAACTAGAGATTTACTCGCACTGCGTCACTCAGTAAACACTGAGCAGCTCAAATTGAATTATTTTATTCAGTATGATGATTATAATTATTATAGTAGAACAGATTAAACGGAATAAATGCATAAATTGCACAAAATATTTTATGAGGTTATGTTGCCATTTTAGAGAGTTTTTATTACTAAAATCTCCTTAAAATGCTATGTTCTACTGCGATTAAATGACAACGCGAGTGCCTGCTTTTTCTTATCGTGTGATGTTAAGATTTACTATCAAAACAACAGTTGGCGATTTTGAAGAGAACGTTTTAATAAACCATTTAGATAACAACAAATACAAATAGCAAAACTTAACAATAATTGGTGGTGAATGAAGCAATGAAATATTGTACAAATCTGGAGAAGTATTGCACTATTTACAAGAATTGTTCAAAAAGGCCCCTCTCAGCTCGGTCTAGGACAATTCGGCGCGGCCGACTTGGCGCGAGACATTTTGGCGCAAAGCCAACTTGGCGCAGGGACACTTTGGCACAAGCCATCTTGGCGCGAATGAACCCGCACCAAGAAAAATAGATATAATTATATAAAAATTGTCAGCATAACCTAATTTTTATAGTCTCCAACGCGTGGAGGGGTAATGTCGACTTTTTAATGGACACACGGGCGCTTCGCGCCCTGCATCCCTTTATAAACATACTCCTAAACGTGGAACTTCTTGCTCCGTGGTTCATTTAGTTATTGGAATTTGTGCGAATGAAACTGTGTATTTGATTGCTCTCAGCTCCTGTAAGTAAGTCGATCTTCAAAACTCCTACGAGTTTTGATCAGCATTTGAGGTGAAATCAGAAGACAATATTGTTGGATTGCCTGTTTCAGCACTTCGCTGTTTGAATAGCTGGTATTGTTGGAATAGAGATGGTCGTGAAGAAAGCCCCAAAGAAAAAAAAATTATAAAACTTTGCAATCCAATATTAGGGGAAAAAGGTGCTTCAAATAAGTAACGCATATACGAGCTGTATGGGTGAAGATTCAGTCCAGGGTATAAAAGACCTGCTGCAGATGCCACACTCTTCGAATACCAGGAAGTTACTCTTCGTTTACGAAGTCCCATTGCGATAACAAGACATAAGAATGAAAATGTCTTGTTCAACAGAATAAACCATTTTCACAGTATTCGCTTCCTAGCACAAAAACAAAATTTTCGTACTCACACACCAAGAGTTTTGAAAACGACTGTTTAGTTGTTTTGAACTTGGATCAACGAGAATTGCTGTGAGAACTGAGCAGGGTTGCCAGATTTTCCTCTCTCAATATAGCCAACTCAAGAACAAAAAGTAGCCCAAAGTAGCCGCTTATGCCGAAATTGTGGTACACATGTAACGCGTCATTTGAAAGTTCAAAAGTGGTTTTAAAAAATAAATTAGACAACTTGTTCATGATAAACATTATAATTCTTACAGTATTAATGTACATAATACAAAAGCAAAATACACAATAACTTGTATGAGTATAACAAAAAATAATTGTAAAATACTAAATACAATTACGTTCTATATATATATATACGAGGACTGTATGATAACTACCCGTGTTTGAAGACTGTGGGTACCACTGACTCAAAATCTGTAAACCATGGTCTAGTGTCATCTTTCAAACGCGTTACAAGTTCGGAACATTGCTTGAATATGTTTAAGCACAATTCGAAGGACTTTCTAAGGCGTTACGCGACTGTTGACGAAACGTGGATACACCACTACACTCCAGAGACTAAAGAACAGTCAAAACAATGGACTCTACCCGGCGAACGTGCTCCAAAGAAGGCGAAAACGGTTCCTTCGATCGGAAAAGTTATGGCTACTGTTTTTTGGGATTCGCATGCCATCATTTTCATAGACTATTTTGAAAATGGCAAAACAATCACGGGGCAGTACTATGCTGACCTATTGAGCCGATTTGATGCTGAATTAAAGATAAAACGGCCCCATTTGTCGAAAAAAAAGTCCTGTTTCACCAGAGAACATAGAAAAGCGACATAGAGGCTGATTTTGCAAAACCACCCTTATTGACACTGGAGTCCTCAACTGCCAAAGGCAAGCGCCAAATTTAAATAGTCGACGCCCATAAAAACCTTGTTTCACTATAATTGTAATTCGTGTGACCTGAATGAAAGTCAAGGAAACAGTAAGCAGCTTGTAATATTCTGGTAAATTTAGTGTCAATTTGTCGGAAATAAAACGCGTTATTAAAAATATTATGACATTTCTTCTAGTTACTTTTATCCCTAGTTAGAAACAAACACTGCTACCAACATAAATTGAGGAGTCCGCAACCGTCATTTAATTTAAACTATGGCGCTTCTCTATGTTCTCTGGTTTCACTATGATAACGCACCGGCTCACACGTCTGCAATTGCTACAGCAAAACTTGTCGAATTACGCTATGAATTACTGCCTCATCCTCCCTATTCGCCAGATTTAGCACACCCCCAACGTCCTAACGGCCCTCTTCATTATGCGGTCCCCGACGCGTACTGATACGACCCTGGCGCATCCATTGGAACCTAGATGTAGTTCTACCACTCGTCCTCGTCGCCAATTTAAGGGTGGA